CACCCGTCGCCACTTTCGTGGGCTCCTGGGAGGCCCAGCGGAGGTGGGTCCCACGCGGATCACCTCGGTAGCTCCCCGCCCCCTGGGGGGCTTGGCTTGCGATCTGCGCAATTGTCGCCACGTTCGTGGGCTCTTGGGAGGCCCAGCGGATGTGGGTCCCACGCGGATCACCTCGGTAGCTCCCCGCCCCCTGGGGGGCCTTCGATCTGCGCAATTGTCGCCACTTTCGTGGGCTCCTGGGAGGCCCAGCGGAGGTGGGTCCCGCGCGGATCACCTCGGCAGCTCGCCTCCACTCGCCGCGGCTCCGAAGCAGGTCCATCTGCCTCTCAGCTTCCCGGCGGCCTCAACCTCGCTGCACTCCATGTCGGCGTCCATCATCGAGTCATCGTCCGCCGGTCTCAACGTCTCGAGGGTCGCCATCCAGAGGTCCTCCGCGCGGATGCAGTTGGCGACCGCCACCTCCCAGCGGCGCTCTGGGGGGCCCGTTGGCAGCTCCTCGACCGCTACCTCCGAGCGCGCCCAGAGGTCGAAGTTGACCGTGTCCAAGGGGGGCGGCACGTCGCCGTGGCTCCCAGGGTCGGGCGCGACCGTGGCATCGACGCTGACCTCGTCCTCGTCGTACTGCCCCACGTCCTGCGCCCCGTCGTGCTCGCCGTTGTGCTCCACGCAATCGCCGCCCTCGAATGCGCCCCGAGCCCCAGCCTGGGCCTCGGCGCCGAGCGAGGGGAAGCGGGGCACCGCTGGCATGGAGGGGAGGTCTGCGCTCGCCTCCGCCTCGCGGTGACCCTCGGCCTCCAGCACCACCTCGGGGCCCCGCGCGTCGCAGTGCGCCCCTACCTTCTGGCCGATGCTCCCGCGGACCATGCCGCGGACCATGCCGTTCTCGACCTCGGCGCCTTACGCACTGAACTCGTCCTCACCGTGCAGCCTCGGGTCTTGCGCCGGGTCGAGCTCCCCGTGGCGCTTCACGTCCAGCTTGTTGCTAGGCGCGACCACCAGGCTGCTGCGTGCCGCCAGCCGCGCGCCCTTCTGGGCGCGGCGCAGCGCCGCAGCAGGGGCCGCCTCCAGCGGCCACGGCACCACGGCCGAGTGGAGCGTCACTCACGTTCCTCCGCAGCGTGCCGACGGGCGACGCGACCTTGTCGTGGACCTTCTCGTGCAGGTGCCCCGCCACCACCGCGAGGCGGTCCGCAATGGAGGGGTCCCCAGGCGCCGCCGCCAGCTTCTCGTATCTGCCTCTCCAGAACTTGACCGCCATCTGCAGGTCGTGGACGAGCAAGTCCCCCGACCAGCGTGCCCAAGCCTGGCTTGCACGTCTGCGCTGCCGCCGCGCCGCACTCGGGCCCAGCGCGCCGCCGGCAGCGTCCTCCCGCGAGGGGGCCGCCGCCCGCGCCAT